TGGTGGAATATTCCTGGGACAATCCATGGGAAACCCTCAATGGCAGGGCACCCTGGAGCTCTTCCCTCTCTCTGGGGGCCAGGAAGAAGCCAGGTGGGCCTCCTTTCCTTCCCTTCCCCCTTGGTCTTTGTATTTTTCATGCCGGCCTGATTACCCCATCATCACCTTCTCTCCAAATGCGGGAGCTTCGGGAGAACTCTTGGGAATTTTTTAAACTTCTTTGTCCTGTGTAGCTTCTGGTTGTGCCGCAGAGTGCCTTGCTGAGCATACGAATGCCCAGCTTGAACTTGTCTTTCCTTTTTCCAGCTACGGAATGAGGCCCCCTTTCCCTGGTTCGGAAGTGGCTGGCGAGGATTCTGCAGACCTTTGCCCTTCTGTCGGCAGGAAGGAGATCTGGCTTCGCTCTCCCATCCTTATCCCGTTTAATTTGCCATCACAGCCAGCAGCAGTCAGAACAGGGCCCCACCCGGTGTGTATTTAGAAGCACCTTCTTCCAGGACTGCATCGGCCCCCATTAACATATCAGTCGGATCCCTGCTCCCCACACAGGTGAGGAACTGTTTCTTTTCTTTCTTTCTTTTTTTTCTCGCGAGATCAGAGACTCAGCACCTTCGTTTTGCGCCATATAAAATCGCAGTTAGGAAATAAAATTCGGAGGAAGAAGGATGTTAAAGTCGCTTCTGATCACATCAAAGTGCAGCGGACTCTCAGTATGGGAGACGACTAGGAGGAGGAGCCTGGGCTAAAGCCTCATTGGAGCCTCACAGATACGGACTGAAGTCGCAGCAGCCACAGGTCTGGGCCAGAGGAGAGTCGGGTGATCAGACCCCAGACAGAACCAAAGTCCCGTGTGGGTGAGTGCTGAAGGGGACCATCTGCTTATAAGAGTCAGGACAAGCTGCTGAATTTAAGAGCAATGCCTGTGGCAGTAAAGCAGAAAGTCACTCTAAGTACTGATAGCCAGTGGTGGTTGTACTAGCTTGTCCTCCTTTATACTAACACTCGCCCCTCCCTTCTCCCAAATGGGTGCCTAGGAAGGTACAGAATGCTGCAGAACATTTCAGAGCAGGGTTCAGGCCCCTACTCTGGTCTGCGCTGCACGTGTACACAGGACAAGTCCCAAGAGAATCAGAGACCTGCCAGGAGCAGGAAGCAAGAGACTGCAGCAG